AGCCCTCTGCCCAAAGTAATCACCCGCCCCTGGCCTACAGTGTTGGCTACCCTTAGACAATGGCTGTTTAGCATGGTGGGAGCATGGCACTAATAACACCAAGGTTGCAGGTTTGATCCCTGGTTGGACTAGATCTCTTGAGGTCCCATCCCATTTTGCTGAGCTATGAAAGGTTTCTTTTCTCTATGACTTGCTGACAGCCAGTGGTAAATGTGGATTGCTCAATATGGATTAAAAGCATTTACTAGCACTGACAGGGCTTTTGCGACCTGTCACAGAACAAGATCTTTCAAAGTTTGATTCTTTGAAGAGTGTTGGTAGTTCTTGGTAGTTATAATGCAGTTTCTCTTGAGGGGATATCTGATAGTCACCCAAAGTGATATGCAAACTCTAAGCCAAGTGGCCATGTTATTAAAAGAAACATTAACACCATGAGGAGTGGTAGATGCTCAGAAGTCCTGGAAGGCAGGCCTTCTGGTGAAGTCTCAACTGTAAGGACCAAGTCTGCAAACTTAGCTTATGCTTTTTATTTCCATTTACCACTCCACTCCTCACAAGTCTCAAGGTGAGGCTGCATGGAGAAAGTTGCACATAGGGTACGGGTACTGAGTGATTTATTCTCCCATGTTACGAATGACCTCATAATTCCTGAGTGGGAGTTCGTCAGATCATTCCTAACAAGTGACGGCATTTGGCAGAATGCTCTCTCTCTCTTTCTCTCTCCGTTACATATTCAATTTGTCCAACTGTACAAAGATTATTGGTTTTAGAACACTTAATTTCTTTCCTTTTTCCAAAATCACTTCCCACAAGTTTTAAAACACAGTAAATGATATAAATATGTGTAATGCTGGCAGTCAGAGGAACAGTGCACAGTGCCTCTTACAGCCCTTCATATTTACAGTCAGAAACAGAGAAAGCCATAATAGCCCAGCACCTAAATCTCCAGTAGCCTGGGGTTAGGAATTACAACTGCTGATTTCCTGAACTGAGACCTTACTATGTCTGGAGGTAAAAAGTCATACTGGACAGGAGGAAGCCAGTGTTAGACGTGTATTTGGTCCTTGAGACATCATGGTAAATATAACCCATTTTATGCTGTGATGTCTGTGCCATTTCCTATTGACATTTATGTGCGTCAGCTGCATAGGTGCATAGGGGTGTTACTGGGAGGGATGTTTTAAAATCAGCACAATGTGATCCATGCTGCACTCAAGTCAAAGCAACATTTGGGTTTGGTTTTGATTATTACTCATCCAAAAACCACAAATGCACCCCTGCCCATCTCCCCCCAGATCAAATACAAAGCAGGAAAAGGCTGTGACCTTTCCAAACCAGCTGAATCCTTACAATGCAGTATTGATCAGGTCCTGGAAGGTGCAGCATGATAAAGTGAGAGCAGCAGTGGCCAAGCCATCTGTTGTTTTCCCAGGGGAACCGTGGAAATTCAGATTATGCTGATTTGCATAATCCAAGTATTATGGCTGTGCTAATTTGGCTGTGTTCCAGAGTCATTTTACTGGAGTGTGATCACTCTGGGCTCATCCAGACGAGTGCACACATGCGGTTTGCAGTGCTTCAAACCTGTTTGAGGCACCACAAACCACACATGGCGTACATGTAACTGTTGTTAGCTTTGCTGCTAATTTGATACCAAGAATCCCAGTATCAAAAAAACTGCCATGAAAGAAAAGTGGCGCGGCGCGCGCTCCAGCAGCATGCGCCAACAGACGGAGGCTCAGTCCTCCAGGTAGATGCGCTGGCTGCTGGCTAGAGCGTCTCTCCTCCTCCAGTTGTTCCCCAGCTCCTCCAGCATAGAAGAAGCAGAGAAACGGCAGTTTCCTCAAAGTGGGGCAGTTTGCCCCACACTGCAGGGCATGTGCAGGGGTGTGCACAGTGGCAAAAAATAGCAACACAAATTTCAAGTTGCAGCAAGGGAGATTTAGGTGGATATTAGGAAAAACTTTATCACAAGGAGGGAGGTGAAGCACTGGAAAAAGTTACCCAGAGAGGTTGTGGCATCTCCATCCTTAGAGGTTTTTAAGACCCAGCTAGACAAAGCCCTGCCTGGATGATCTAGTTGGGGCTGGTCCTGCTTTGAGCAGGGGGTTGGACTAGATATGACATCCTGAGGTCCCTCCCAACCCTCGTTTTCTATGTCGGGACATGGACTCTGCGTGTCCTGATCCCAGGGTGCATTTTAGCGGGTGAAGGCCCATTGCTTTTGTAGTTCTCTTATCACAGTAGAATAATAACTTGTGAGGTCCGCTCTGTGTTGTGCTTGGATTGCAAATTAGTCCTAACTATTTGGATTGATTTTAACCTGAAGAAGGTAGAACGCTGGGGTTTTTTCCAACACGGTTCTCAGCCCAGAGCTGAGCCTTGCCAAGAAACATGCAGTACATTGGAATAGTTTGGGGATGATGTAGCCCCACCCCTGCTGGGGCACTCGGATTCTCCGCAGACTGAGGCATAGCATTAGGCAGACTTAACAAGCCAGAAGGAGAGCTGTAGCCTGCTGATCCTGCAAGGATAATACAGTAACTAAAATTAACCATTCCAAAGTCTGACTGTCTAGCCTGCCTTTTTTTTAACTGCTGTTTGATTTGCAATAACTGTAGACAAAGGAGAAATAAGGAAAGTTGACACAGCCAAGCACAGGGCACCCGACAACAGGTGGCAATAGGGGAGTAAGAAAGCAGAAAGGCTTTGCATAGCTTGCCTATTTTTAAAAAAAAAGAAAATGAAGGGTCAGTATTTCAGGGTAACTGCTGGACTCTGTTCTAGTTTCTGGCACGACTGCTGCAGGGCACGATGGGATCTTTCCTCTGTAGAATACCTTTGAGAATTTAGAGGCCATGGCTGTGTTTTTATGCAGCTTGAAGATGCAAAGACTCCATGTGTGTGTGGTGGGTAGAGCAGCAGAGAGACCCTTCCACCCTAATAAGAAATCCCTCTTTAAAATCTTGCTTGACCAAGGTCTCCAGGGAGTTTTCCTCCCTCCCCCACCACAGTTGTACCATAGGGTGCTTTCCCATTCCCCATTTTTCTATGGATCTGCTATATTTGGCAAAGTCACGTAAGAGAAAAGGTGATGAAGGCCGAGGAACAGTCCTAGCACAGAGCCTGTGTGTGCCGGTGTGTGTGTTACAGCTCAGCCAGTTCACTATGGTATCAATTTAAACCAATTGCCGTGAAATTAGGGAAAGTCACATGCGCCGAAAGCAAACCATTCCTAAAGGGACAGGTTCTGATTAGAAAATACATGGTGTTTTAATTACTCTAATGAACCAAAAAAACTCAAAGCAATTATAGCTTGTACATTGTGCTAATTAGAATCTTATTTTAACATTTGGGGAATAAGGAATAGAGACCCCTTAAAATAAAAGGCATGGTTTTTCGTTTTTTTTATTCTGCTCCACGAGAGCCAAACAGATTATTTGAAAACCAAGAATGATAAAGCAGCTTGTAATTTAGCACAACTGTTTGATTGCTCAGAAGATAGCACCTAGCGATTACCTATTATAAATCCTCCCTTCAGTTAATGAAGCTTATGCTTGCTTCTAAACCTCAGACAAAAGTAGCTTGAAAAATAGCACCTGTGCTCTAAAACTCACTGACGCACTGAGGTGGGGGCGGGGGGACCCATCTCTGCTGCCAGGCTTTAATTATATTTCCCTGCCCTAGGAAAAGGCAGGGGCTGAACATTTGTTCTCTGCTTGAGGTCCACTGGAGTTTCTGTCGCATAACTTTCCCATGACCGGCAATAAGAGCTCCCCACATCGCCATATCCCCTCCAATTAAACAGCCTCTACAATGAGAAGATGAGCTCGTCAGGGCAGGATTCAGATCAGTGAAACCCGCTGAAGTCCGGATTTGCTCAATCTCATTTTGAAGAGCAAAACCGGTGCCGTGACTCTGATCTAATGTCAATGTGAAAGGGATGCCTGTGGTTTCTCGGGGCTGCAGATCAGACGCAGAGTTACAGCGGATCTGCTTGAACTGAAACTTGTTGCATCAGACTGTGCTCAGCACCAGGAAGGAGTAAGTCCTTAATGAAGTACCAGGGTCTACCTACTAGTGACTGTGGCAATATCCCACGTCACACTAATGGTTCAGATGATCCGAACTCTCCTTAATGTCTTCCTGTTGCTATTTTGCTCTGGGTGTCACTACTGATATTGTTGGTGACCATCTGTTCTCAGAAGGAGCCAGCCCTGCATATGGACATCTCAGAGTAACATTACCCATTTGCCTTTCACAGCGCCCAGTTTCGGTTTCACCCAAAGTCGAAACCATTTACATTTAATGAAGACTCACCGTCTATCAAAGACAGGTATGTTCCCGATTCCTCATTCTGAAAACCACGTGCTTTAGACCGATCGAAAGCAGAACACGCACCCTGACTTCACTGATGCCAGTGTCCCCTCCCTCTATAATGAGCCTAATCTAACCACAAGTCCAAGCGCCTGTCTGAGCTCCAGAGCATTTCAGCTCCACATCTGAATTTTATGGCATGGGTTTGGCTCTCTCTTCCAGACCTTTGCACTGGCATCGTTGTATTCGTGCTAGTAATTTGGTGCCTGCTTTATTTACATTAAATCTGAGCCAGGCATGTTGCTCTGGACACTCAACAAGTATCTGTAAACTGAAAAAGCGATCTGATATCCTGCTAAGCGTTCTCCAGTTACCATCGGGGAGAAGTGTCAAGAAAATAAAAGCAGTAATGGGCACTGAAATAGGCTCCACAATTTAGAAAGCAGACAACTGAAAAATGAATTAGATCAATGCTAGAAATGTCAATTTTTTCCTTCACAGTGTGGTACACCACGTGCTTTTTAAATGCACAGGCCACCTTTTCTATTTCCAACTTGCTCTGCTCCATTTTTAATCCACTTTTTTGGAATTATTAACTTCTCTCAGCATTCAGCACATGTTAGCGACAGGCCGGAGACTTGAATGCAAAGTGGCTATGCAGGGGGAGGGGAAAGAGGGATCATTTTACCGGGAAAGGAAAGCTGCGCTCTACGCCGATATATAATACCCAGGGGTGGACCCAGGATTTTACAAAGCGGGGTGATTGAGCAGCACCTGGTGCTGCATGGGTGGCTGGACCCCCACTCCCAGCCCCTCCCATGATCCCCCTCAACTAGGGCAGGCAGACTGCACCACAGGAGCAAACCCCAAAGAAGGTAATTCCCTCCCTTCTCCCCTTCCCTTCTCCCTGCTCAGAAGCAAGTCCCTTCCCGTCCCCTTCCTGTCCCCTTCCCATTCCCCCCCTCCACCTGCTGCTGCCAGTGTCTGTGCTGCTCTAGTGGGGCCGGGACCTTGCGTCCCACTGCAGACGGGCTGCATGAGGGCAGGGCTCAGCCCGGAGCTACGGGGGTGGTGGGCAGATTCCCTGTGAACCCGGCTGATCCCACTGCTGTCACTGCTGCTGTTCCCAGGCTCCTCCACGCCCTAGCTGGAGCAGGACATGAGTGCTCCTCGTGCCCAGGACAGCTGGGCCAGCAGCAACGCTGGCAGTGGCAGGTAGGGGCGGGGACAGGGCAGGGGACGTGCTTCTAAGCATGGAGAGGAAGAGCTGAGGAAAAGTCCGCAGACGTTACCCCTGCCATGTGATCCAGAGGGGGCACCACTCCACCCCCTCTGGATCTGCCCTCGATAATACCTACTTGTAATTTAAGGTTAAAAACATGCATGGGGACACACGTAGAAGACATGCGGTCTTCGTTCTTAGAGACAGCGTGCCCCACTTGGAGTGGGCTTTCATCCTAGAAGCTGGACCCACTGAGTGAAAACACCACAAACTCAAACCAAAAGGTAGGAGGAAGGAAGCATATGAATAATCCAGCCCTATTAACACCTGGTATAGTTGGTAGTAAATCATTCCCTGATTGCGGTACAGCATTTCATAGTGTAGCCTTGTTTTTACTGCTACTGGTTCATTCAGGAGGCAAGGTCAGCAGAAGATCTGGAGATCAACGCCTCCAGCTTCCTCGTGCCTTACGCCCGTAGGAATGATTCACGTCAAAGCTGGGTAAGAAGGACTTTTATACAGCATCAACATCCTTCTCCTCTCCCCATCTCTTCCCACACGTGAATTTCAAAATTTGATTTATACCCCTGGCTGGCTGGTGGGCCCATGGCAGGCTCCGAAGATATTAAAGTACAATTTGAAATAAGGCCAAAGGGGGAAAAAAACCAAAGGGGAAAAAAACCAGCTTTACATATATTTTGTTTTGAGAGCTGGAGTTTAATTTAAATCTGGCATGCTTTATATAAATGAAGTCAAGTCCCAAATGATACTAGACAGCATGGCATTTATGAGCCCCAAGTTATAGTTTTTGCTATTAAGGCAAAACTTAACAATTTCCAAGTCTGTATCAAGAGAAATATAAAATAACATGACTCTGGATACACCTTTTTCTCCATCTGTGACCACTATTTTATAATGTTTTTTTAATATTATTTCTAGCCCTGGTTAGCATAGCTCTGGCACTAGCAAGCTTATTTCAGGTTTTTTCACATCAGGCTTATTTTCTGCTGACAGCTACTGTGCTGGGTGTGATCCAATACTGTGATATTGCACCAGCAATTCATTCTACCTCATTTACCCAAGAGATAAAAGCCTGGGACTGGAGCCTTTAAAATGTACTTGAAATGTATATTTACCAGGCATGTTTTGGCACAAACCCATGGTACATGAATGGGGGGCCAAGCATGATTTACAAGGAAAATAATTCAATACCCCTTTCTTCATTTCCTTTTCCTTTGTCGCTGGGTGTGATGCACTGTGACCTGATTCATACTGCTGATGATGGTCTTCTGCCTGTACTTCCTTGAGCTATGAAGTCAATCTGTTTGAGGAAGCTATCGTTTTTGTAGAGCAAGGTCATGCAGTTGAGTGAACAATACAGTAAATATAGGCAGCAAAGGGAAACACAAATGTGCCTGGTATATTTGTCTTTTACTTGAGAGGCTGCTAAATTTGTAGATACTTTACATCTGTTTTTTCTTAAAGGTATATTACTTTTGCTATATCCACAATGAATGATAAAGCATTTTAGAATGTGGAGAATGAATTTACTACTGCTTCGTCTTATCAACGCAAATGTTGCCTTTGCTCTTCAGCCGAATGAAACGCCAGCTCCTGAAGAAAGCCCCAGAAGGAGGGCCATGGAGCTGACAGAAAGACAACCAAGTAAGGTATAAGACACTCCTTGGGTCTCTTGAGTATGCACTTCTCCTATTAACAGTGCTATCTCTTTCCAACCCACTCGCTGTAACTATAAGTTTTGAAGAATCACAGTACTGATGAGGAGACTTTATAGTATCATAGTGTTTAGGGTCAGAAGGGACCTAAACAGATCATCAGGTCCGACCCCCCCCGCCCCAGCCAGGAATGGGATATCACCCCAGCCAAATATCTGTCCAGCCTCCTCTTGAAGACCCCCAGGGTAGGGGAGAGCACCACCTCCCTTGTGAGCCCGTTCCAGAGCCTGGCAGTCCTAACTGTAAAGTAATGCCTCCTGATATCAAGCCTGACCCTACTCTCAATCAATTTGTGGCCGTTATTCCTTGTTATCCCAGGTGGTGCCCAGGGGAACAGAGCCTCCCCCAGTTCCTGCTGGTTCCTCCTGGTGAGTTTGTAAATGGCCACCAGATCCCCTCTCAGCCTTCTCTTGTGGAGGCTGAGCAGGTTCAGGCCCTTTAGCCTCTCTTTGTAAGGCCTGCCCTGCTGCCCCTTGACCATGCGAGTGGCCCTCCTCTGGACCCTCTCAAGGTTAGCCACATCCCTCCTGAAGTGCGGCGCCCAGAACTGGACACAGTACTCCAACAGCGGCCTGACCAATGCCACGTAGAGGGGGAGGATCACCTCCCTGGACCTGCTTGTGATGCATCTGTAGATGCATGACAAGGTGCAGTTAGTCTTACTGACCATTTCCTCGCATTGGCGGCTCATGTCCATCCTGGAGTCAACAATGACTCCAACATCCCTTTCAGCCACTGTGTTGATGAGAAGGGTATTCCCCAGCCTATAGGTGTGCTGCTGGTTCCTTCTCCCTAGATGCAGCGCCTTGCACTTGTTTGCGTTGAATTCCATCCCAATCTCATCCTCCCACCTCTGTAACCTGTCTAGATCTAGTTGGATTCTGTCCCTCCCCTCCAGTGTGCCCATTTCTCCCCACATCTTGGTGTCATCAGTGAATTTGGACAGCGAACTTTCCACACCCACATCCAGATAGCTGATAAAAATGTTGAACAGTGCAGGCCCCAGGACCAAGCCCTGGGGGACTCCACTGCCCACTTTCCTCCAGGTCGAAAACGACCCGTCCACCACCACTCTCTGGGTGTGACCATCAAGCCAATTTGCCACCCACCTGACTGTGTAGGCATCAATGCCACAGTCCCCAAGCTTTTTAAAGAGAATGTGGTGGGAAACTGTGTCAAAGGCCTTCTTACAGTCCAGGAAGACAACGTCCACCTCAACGCGCTTGTCCAGGGACTTTGTGACCTGATCATAAAAAGAAACCAGGTTAGGCAGGCAGGACCAGCCCTCAATGAACCCATGTTGGTTGCCCCTGAGCATTACCTCCCCTGCTGGGCCCTTGCAGATGTGCTTCTTGATAATTTTCTCAAAGGTCTTCCCAAGGACCAAGGTGAGACTAACTGGCCTATAATTGCCGGGGTCCTCCTTTCTCCCCATCTTGTAAATGGGGACCACATTGGCCCTTTTCCAATTCTCTGGTACCTGGCCAGAGCCCCATGAGCGCTCATAAAGCCATGCCAGGGGCCCTGCTATGACCCCTGCCAATTCCCTCAGCACCCTCGGGTGAAGAGCATCTGGACCTACTGATTTAAACACGTCCAGCCCCTCCAAAAGTTCCCTAACTAGATCATCCCTGACTCTAGGCATGGTGGTGCCTACCTTGGGTCCAACCACAATTCTAGTTTGCTTGTTTGCTTAGTCTACAAAGATTTTAAAAAATCCAATGGAAAGGCCTATGCAACAACCACGGTGCAGAGCAGGCTGCCTCCCACAACTGGTCTTCGAATACTCATTGCAACATGGATCCCAAAGCTGCCATTCAGCCGGGCATCACCCATTTTGTACTGGTATTTTTGGTGATTTGTTCCAGGGTGTAGCACCTTACATTTATCAGCATCTGCCTTCATCAGCCACTGATGCAAATCCAGACTTAACCACCGCAACGGTGTGGGAAGTATTAGCAATCTCTGACATTGAAACCTCATGTCATTTTTCTGAAAATGATCAGTAGTTTAAATCAGGAGATAGTATGTATGTATGTATGTAGGATTTTTCTGGGTGATATCTTTTGCTTCGTGGTTGGAATAGTTTTAAACAAGCTTTTGAATACAGGACATTTTTCTTCGGATCTTTTTTATTAGCTTTAAGAAAAACAACAAATAAGGGCCCTTAAGTTAGGGGCATATCACCTCATACTTGTTCCTAGTTTTGACCCAGCATTTCCCAGAAGCTGCAGGTATATACACCGCACGGCCCTGTGAATCAAAGGTCATATATGAAGCTGTGTGTACTACAGAGATCCAGCCCCGCAGTAATAAGGATCTCCTCCACTTCTCATTTTGCCGAAGTCTTCCCTCCCTTGGGGCCTTGACCTTGTGAACTCTCTGTTTTAAAAGTGCTATCAGTTTTAAAAGTGCTTTAGATTTCCACGCTCATATTTCATGTGGAGTTCACTTATTTATTGAATGAGAAAGCCACTCTATTCCTTCCCATGAGTTATTAGCATTTACGTCTACAGCAAAAGCATATGGGGAGAGCAAGCGCATGGAAACGTGCCGCGTGTTCTAGCATGGCTGTTCTTCTCCTTGGCAGGTTCGGGCCATTGATATTGACACTGCTCGCCCCAATTTTTCCTGATACTTATTTCATCAAGCGGTAACCTCCATGAGAAGAGAAGGAGCAGATTGCCCTGCAAAGCTGAGCGCCCAGGTGCTGTTTGCTCTCAAAACCAGAGACTGATTTTTGCAGCTTGGCAGCGGTTGAAAACTGTGCCAGGGACCATACGAGGGGGTGAACGGAGCAGTCAAACGGAAGGTCTTTAGCACTCGCAGCCTGCAGCACACAGCTTGGAAAACCTCCTGGAGGGCCTGGCTTCTGTTTGTGAGTGTGCGTCTCCAAGCGAACGACAGCCCCAGACGTGAGTCACTTGCATCTCGAACAAAAGACAGGGATTCAGAGCCCGTCGCCTTCCGAGGCTTTATCACTCTGTTGTTTCTTGACTTGCTTGAGCTGAACAAGGTCATGCAAAGCCCCCAGCTGAACAAACACACAGCACTAGAGGCAAGAGAAGGTCTATTTTGTGTGGGCCCCGGAGGAATTAAGAACAAAATCTCAAGGGAAAAGTTTGAAGTACAATTACTCCGCTCCCCACTTACAATGGAAACATGACACAGGTTGTTGGGTTTTTTTAATGGCTTGCGCATGTGTTCACATCCTTCAGATTGTAATGATTTTTGTCTTTACATGCAGAAGAGGTTAACTGCTGTTCAATCTTGCGTTAGCCTGCAGTAACCTTGGCATTTAAAAGAAAATAATAGCTTCCAACAGCATTTGTGATGGTTCATCCATTAGGAGGGAATGAAGGGCTTCAGCCTGTAAAACACTTTATCTACTCTGTGCTTTCTGTGCCTTGAGCGCTTGTGACAGAAAATTACATATATGCAAGCACCCAGCCCTCTTTTCATGATTACAACCAATATGTTTCTGTTTTGATATTAGCTGCCTGGGTTCTGTGCATTGTTTTTGTGAGCTGTGCAGAAGAAATACAAATGCATTGTAAAAAAAAAAGGGAGGTGGGGAGGAGGGAAGCAGGAATCCACCTATTTTTTTTGTAATGAAGTCCCAGAAAGAAATTTAAATTGCACATTACGGATTGTTCCCCTTTGTAATTACTATATGCAATCTCCCTTTAGTTGGGCACCAATGTGTCACCCACTGGTTGGAGCTGTGTGCATGTTCCATACAGGATTTATACATTTGTAATGGGATGAAGTAGAATCACAGATGGCAACAAATAGAATAGTGTGTGCACTACACACACACACATGCACATATGCACGCGCGTGCGCAACATCAGATATTGTTGGTACAGAAGAATAGCAATATGTAGTCTATGATCTATCATAGACAGACTATGGTTTGTTGGGGGGCGGAGGTTAGAGATGCTGTTGTCCCCCAGGGATCTGTCCAGTTGTAAAAAATGACGTTTTCCTTCTGTCATTTCCATTGGCACACTGACACCGCCTAACTGATACTGTTGTTAGCGTGAGATTTCCAGCTATCAACCTGTTTTTCCCTGACATAAGGAAACCCCTTTGGCCCTCTCTCTCAGACATTTCCTTGGCTGCCTGTCTTGTTTTCACTTTTTTTGGTGCTTCAGATTCTTCTTGTACACACCAGACAACATTCATTCCTAATTGTGTGTGTGCATGTGTGTGTGCCAGTGAGAGAATGCATGTGTACTCATTTATTTTACACACACGCGCACACACACACAGTTATGTAACTTGAAAAAATATATAACTTACATGCATTCACCAGAACTGGCAAGTTTACTGAGTGGGTGTGTACAACAGAAGACATAGTGTAACAAGAGCTAGCAGTAATATGCAATTTTTACAAGTGGATTAATGGCATCTTAGCTGTCACTTATGCTGGGTTTTACATTACTGGTGATAACTGAATGTGGTTCTAACTTTGCCCATAGAATTGTTAGCAATGATTATAGATTAAGTCATCACGAGTAGATATGATGAGGTGGGGCCGTGTAATGACACAGACCTGGCATTATGATTGTTTGTAGCTTTTTTTTTCCTGGGTGGCATAACCACCTTGCCATCGCAAAGCCAAGTCTCTCCGCTTTCCTGATCTTTTTGCTAACCGCTTGTGGATGAAAGAAGTGAAGAATTAGCTAATATTAAGACCAAATTGGGATAATTAATTTGACAAACATTATTTGACCATCTGTAGAACTGAATTAATGAAGTATTACCACATAGTCATTCGTCTGGTGAAGAAAAAATATTTGTCCAGTTCTTTGCAGATACTATTTGGGCATTTAATTTTTCTGAATAGTTTATTGGACAAATATTACAGTCCTATCCCTCCTGATTTCATTGACATATTACATTTCTCATTTCCTGGTTAATTGTATTCTTGATTCCATACAATTTTATCAAGCTGAGAACACTAATGTCTTGGGAGCTTATTCAGCCATAATAGCCATGGGGAATTCAATGCGCGCATTGTACACTAGGATAATGAGAATTCACCCTAATAGTTATTTCTCCTCCTGCTACATGTAGCTCCATTATCTCCTGCACTGAAAATAACCTAACCCCCTTACTTATGTGAAATATGACAATACACTGCCTGAAACAAATGGCCCAAACCCAGGGGACTACAGAGGGAGGGTCTGAGGAAGTAGCTGCAGTGCTGTCTAGAAAGCCAGGAAATGAGTGAAGGAAAAGATGGGTTTGTGCTTAAAGCCTGGAAGAATTGAGGGAAAGTCGTCCCTGAAGGGCCTGAAGGCTTTCCCACCTACCCCCACCCTGAGGTTTGCATTTGTCCCAGACTACCCAACCCTTTTGCTGTAGGCTTGATTGTGATGGTCACAGTGCCCCCCACCCCAGACTCGGCCCCAGGAAGTAGTCCTGCGTCGACAAATGTCTGGGGTTTTTATTTGCTGCAACCAACTAGAAGGTTTGTACTGAAACAGTTAATGAAAGCCCCGCACCGTAGGCCCTGGTCAGCTTGGATTACTCGTGCTGCCAGCGTGGGAGGGTTTAATATCTGAACAGCCCTTTTGTGTCTATTTACCATAACCCTTGCATTAATGTAGTAGGGCTCTATCAAGTTAATTAATTAGAAGGGTCTGAGTGGCAAGGTACTGGGGGTGGGGTTTTGTTTTTTATCTCCTAAGCATCAGGGGCCAAAAGCAGAGAGAAACACAGTTGTTCTTGTTAAAAGACAGTTTTTAGGCATCTGTTGTATGGGAAGAAAACGGTGACACCACCCCTTCCTCAACTCGCCCTCTCTTGAGACGTGCGCGTGTAGCGCCATGATCCCGATCATATTATTAATGCCACAAAGACCTAATGTTTCACCCAGTTTGGGCTCAGATGAACAGACAAGGGCCCACGTCACCACTGCTGCAGAAGCCAAGACTGCCCTTTACAGCTGGGTTATTTATTAGTCAGAAACTCAGCCTTTAACAAAGCAAAGCACATTGATTTTTCCTTTAGCCTCGCAGCTCCAGGGCTTGGAAAGTGCCTGCTGTTGTCTCACTAAACGCATTAGACTCATCTGTGCTAAAATGTTAACATTTCTCTTCTCTTGTGAGCACATGTGGCAAATCCTAAATGGGATTTAGGGCCCAAAGGTCCAGCTTGGGAGATGCTTGCTTGTGTGCGAAAGTCTTAGTGAGCCGCACATAACGTGCCTGCCTAATCACGCAGGGGCCTGAAAAGTGCCAGGCGTCTTATTTTTTCAGACAAAAACTAACTTTTCATCAGTTGCCGGGAAAGCAGGAGACGCGAGTTCAACTTGCAGCTCAAGCTGCGGTGGGTCTCCTGAAGTGCCGTTGCTACTCCTACGTCGTTCTTGTTGGCCGGCATAGGTTTAGGCATCCCTCTGTTTGGTGTGTTGTGAATCCCAGCCCAGGCTCTCAAGCAGCTCCATTTAAAGGCTGGGACTTTAGACAGCAAGTGTACTTTGTAGGCTCAAGATCCATGAGGCCAAGAGTTAGTTAGGCATGCCAACTCTCAGGGTTGTTGTGTGGCAGTCCCGTTGCTGGCACCTAAACAGGATTTAAGCTTCTCTTGAAACTTGCAGTTTGCATGGACTTGTGTAGCCATTGCATCAGAGAGTGAATAAGAGATTGGCTTGCCTTGACTTGATAATGTAGTGCTTATGGCACACACGGAGGAGCTGAGACCTGTATTTGCTACCCAGCCTTAATCGATGGTTAAAGAGCCTGTGTTCCAGTCACTGGCCCCGGGACAAGCCTTGGTGAGAGCTTTGATTGCTGAGCTACAGACTTTTGGTCGTACTTGCACTCTCTCTCTCTGGCCCAATGAATCTTTACTTTGTCTAGAATAAGCAGAAGAGCTTCCATAAGAGGGGTTGATTGTGGTCACCCTCTCCCCCACCTATTGCTTGGTGACTGGTGCATTCAGCTGGGCAAGAAGCACTGTAGGCTCACATCCTCAAGCACAGAAGGGTGTGAGGTGCGCACACACACACACATGCACACGCAACAGTTGAACGGTTCCAAAGGTGCTGATTTATTGGGAACTGGTTCCCAATTGTGTGCCGGCTGTGACTCTGCCAGTTGGGCAGGGGGTGGCGGGGAGAGGGCAGGGGGCATGAGCATCTAGCCCAGCAGCATACCTTACAGTGGGTGATTTCACAGGCTCCTCCCAAGCTGGTCTTTATTTGGGATTTGCTGCTTCTGCTCACAAAAGAGACACATTAACGTTTTAGCACAGCCAAGTCTAGTGTGGTTAGTGAGACGAGCAAGTCCTGGAGCTGCAAGTCTTCCTCCCTCCCTTCCTCCCCCCTTCACACTAGACCAGAAATGCATCCAGACTGCATCAGCCACTGAGCTAAAATACTAGGCCTTTCCACTAAGCCAAAAGGGCTTCAAAACACTCATAGGGAGCCAGTCAGAAGCTGCAGGTTCCTGTGGGTTGGAGCACTATTGTAGTCAGGATGACTTGGAGAGTGCCACCAGGAAACTCAGTGTGCTCAGAGAATTGCACAGGACGCCTGAGCTCATGGCAAGCTGCAGCCCTGAGCGCGTAGCTCTTGTCGTAAAGCTCCCAGTTTCTTCATACCAAATGGAGCCCGTTTCTGAAGTGCACAGAGCTCCGTGCAGGAAACACAAACCTTGCTTTTTGGAGCCTTAAAAAAAAGCAATAGTTCTGCCTTTGCTGCAACCGCTCCTTAAAATTAGCATCAATACTATATATGTTATTGGCTGCTAGCAGTCTTGCGATGGAAGCAGATGCTGCAGTAAGACCTGCAACCCTCTGTAGAGCCATGCTGTGGTGACTGACTTTGCAGGGTTGTGCTGTCCCTTGTGCCTCCGGGAATGCCCTCTCAGGGCCAGAATCATGCTCCCTGGCTGATATCCAAGGCCAGGACCTACATTTGTGAGGGAAACAGCAGTGCCTTGCTTGGTTGAATTTTTTTAGGTACCTAAGTCCAAAATTTGGACCCTCAAAGCCTCTGTTTGGCCTTTGGGGCACCTGAAAGAGCCAGCTGCAATGCTCCCGATGCACCAAAATGCCTGTGCTGGGCATACACAGAACTGTCTGTGTCCCGATGGGCCTGAGTGTGACGCAGAGCGGCTCAGACCTAAGGCCTGGGGTTCAGGAGTAAAGTCTGTGTCTGTCTTCCTTGCTCTGTCAGGGTACAGCCCACAAAAATCATAGCCAGAAGCCCAGGATGCTCCTAGCATCTGGGATCTGGGAAATGCCCGACTCCCCTTTGCACTTCTTACCAGCCAGCCTAGACAGCTCCCTGCACAGCACACTGGCTTTTTGACTCCCATACTTAGGCATCCGCCTCTTGCAACTACAATGCACAGGGAGTTTGTGTGCCCAGCCTGGGGTTTCACAGCAAAGTGCCAAAGGGTAGGGCTGGTATCACTGAGACAGGCTACCACTCCTTTATGAGTTTACCTTAAGGGGCATTTGGTCATAGCTTTTGGGTGATTACTACAGGGGACCAAGCATTGCTACAAACCAGCACATTTCTGTTACAGTGGATACAATTTTGCAGCCTGGAGGCTGTCTTCACACCTGACAGCTCGAGGAGAGGTAGCTTCATTCTGAGCTGGCAAAATGGTTAACGCCCTAATACTGCATTTATTGCTTTATATGTAACTAACGGGGTTTGATATATAGCATCCGGGACCTAGCTTTTTTCCTGTAAATAATATCACCATTGAAAACCAATAGGAACACGTGTCTACAGCTGTGGACAAAATACTGCTGAATGCTGGAGAAGTTTATACGTTCCCCTGGTGCAACGACAGCAGCGACATATATGGGGTCTGCAGCTTTCCCTGGTACCGAGCAACACGGAAGAGGAAATGGGAAACCCTTTGTGTTTTTCTCCCTGCACTGCTGTTACAGCATGGATTTGTCAGGCAGAAACCCTGC